AAAAAAAAAAAAAAAAGATAATAAAAAGCTGAACTTTAAACTCGACCAACGTTATAATTTACTATCGTGTCTCGACGAATGGGTTATTTCACAACTGTAAATAAACCTACCTATTTTCAGTCACTTCTGTAAAATTCCGCGTTCGTTAACGAATAACGAAGCTAGAGGACATAGGAACGTTTTGCGGTACAGCGAGTAACGTCGATAGGGTATCTATAACAAAAGGACAGCAGGTGAGAAAATAAAATTCCGAACGTGTAATGTTACTAGACACATGAGATTGTTGCATTCGTGGCTTTGCAACGAATCATCACTATGGTTTGCCCGTACTTAGGTTAAAGATAGACGGAAAGGCCATCCGCTTTCGTAATCCCTTCGTTTCGCATGCTACGTTCGAGTATTGCGCGACCACTTCCAAAAATATGATATTTATATCTTACGTTTACCGCGCATATCCAGTTTTAGTTTCTTTCTATAATTTTTTTTTTTTTTTTTTTTTTTTTGGTCGAAGAATAGAAAATGAGAGAATATTTTGTTTTCGACAAATGCTTTTGTTATCGCGAGCCGGGAATGAGTGTTTATGTAATGCAGATGAGATTAACCTATCGTTAATTACGCGACTGTAAATAAATTGTCAACTAAAAAATTATTTTTTGCACTCGAAGAGAGGACGGTATATCTGGGCAAATTTTCATGAATCTTGTTATCGCGCGAGGAAAAGGATAAATTTTCTCAAGGGAGGAATAAAACTTTATCTTCCGTTTGAGATTTAAATTTATTTTTCGATTTTTTTTTTTTTTAATTGTTAGACATTCTTACGGATGGAAAAATCTACGAGACACAATCGTGGGATTCGGTGTACGGCCTCGAACCACCAGCTACAACGAGGAATGTAGCACTTACTAACAGTTCCGCGTTTCACGTCCCTGTTTCATGTTTTCCACGCGGTTAGTACCCCCGGTCCAATTATATCATATCGGCTCGTCGTGACGAACCCTTCGTACCTATCTACACGGTTGCTTATTTCAAGTACAAGCTCTAGCACCGGGGAACGCTTTTCGATGTGAATCTCAAGCTCTCGCGATCTTTTTATCAGAGAAATTCCAAATAGGGAAACTTAGTCGCTATTTCTCGGAAAAGCCACGTTTAGGTTCTGAATCACGATACTTTTTGTTTTTAGTTTTGTCACTTTCGAAATTGAACTTTCACATTCAGGAACCAGTCGTCTAGCACTCGTTATCTGGTAATAATATTTAATATGCATACAAAATCTAATATCGATTCAACTGTATCAAATTCCTCTCTCAATCGGAACACGATCTTGTGAAAGCAATTTTAAATTGTTAATTATTTCTGATTGCATGAATGAATGTCGATCAGTGTCGTCATTTACGATACTGATCGATGATTATCATGGATAATTACGAATGAGAAGATAGTTTTTATTGCAGTATCGATCGGTTAGCTTGCTTCGGTTTGTAACACTAGTGTCAATAGAGATTTCATTCGGGACAAAGACTAACTATGTAGTGTTACACATCGATATGTCAACTAACGAGTCGATGTATTTGCTCTCGTTTCTGTCGGCCTGCGCCGACCTATTAACTTTGTCGGTCGCTAGAAAAAAGAAAAAAGAAAAAAAAAAGGAAAAGGAAAAGAAAAAACGAGTGTCCTCGGGTTTTCTTATCCGAGATTCATTGGAACGAGAAATCGAGAACTTGTATCCGTTTGTATGGAATGATCAATTAAAATTGAATAATTGAATCAATTTCGATATCTGCACGATTTCAATATCAAGGCAAGTTTAATCATCAGCTATATATTTCTAGCTAGCAACTAGGTTGTTTGTTATCGGCAAACTAATTGTGTCAAGTGATGTGGGGTTCCTCCCCATCTTCCTTGTTTCCCGCAGGTTCCCTGGCGGGAGTCGGCGTCGGTGTCGGGGTGGCTGGAATGGGCGTCAGTTGTGGAAGCTCGAACCCTCTGGAGTGGACCGGACAAGTGACTGTACGGAAGAAACGCAAACCGTACTCCAAGTTCCAGACACTAGAACTTGAGAAAGAGTTCCTCTTCAATGCGTACGTGTCGAAGCAGAAACGATGGGAGCTGGCGCGCAACTTGAACCTGACCGAACGGCAGGTGAAGATATGGTTTCAAAACCGAAGGATGAAGAACAAGAAGAATAGTCAGCGGCAACAACAAAATAACAACAATAATAATAGTAGCGCCAACAATGCGAATCATCACGCGGCTACCGGCAGTCATCATCATCCGAGCGCCGCACATGCGCCACCCTCGAGTCACCACGTGGTCGCGCAGGCGCACCACGCGAATGGTTCCGCGAAGCATCATCAGTGACCCGTGGCTTTCTCTGGGGTCGTCTTCGGCCATCATCATAACAATCACACAAACGGCTCGACGAACGGTTGCGCCGGGAACGGTGCTGGTGCTGGGACTGGGACTGGGACTGGGACCGGGACTGGGACCGGGACCGGGACTGGAAACGGCATCGGCCATTCCGGTAGCCACGCGAACCTTGTTACAGGTCACAGCCACACGCTTCACGCGCCTCAACCTCAAACGCCTTTGCCAACTCATGCCGTCACACCTCCCACCGCAGTCGTTCATCCGCATATTCACGCACACGCTCATCATCAGTTGGCGCACGTGGCTCAGCAGTATCCCGCGCTTCTTCATCAGACATCCCACGGCCTGGCTGCCTGAACGTTGAAATTCTTCAGGTTTTGACGCCCCAGAGAAATCGTCGATGAGTCGTGCTTATTGCAGACACAGAGCTCGACCCTTGGCTCGACAACCCTTGGCAGATATGTAACCGCATACTTATTGAACTTCGTTCAGCAGCTGTTTCAAGACTGCCTACCATTTCTAAGAAGAGATATTCTTTCGCGGTATAATTA